CTCTTGGGGTTCCAGCTGAGCCCTGCCGTCTCCAGGGGCTTCGGGGAACATGGGGCTTGCGGACCCGGGCGGCTTGTCAGTCTAGATGAGCTGCCAGGACGACCCACAATCAGCCCCAGAGCCACACGTGAGTGGGGACTGAGGCCCCTCACTGTGACTTCTCACTCTGCAGGCGGAGGTGCTGGTGTTGGCCAGACTGTTTCAGGGAACAGCTGGAAGGAGGACTGGAGGAGGGAGCCGGGGGAGGCCAGCCCCCCAAAGTGGCAGAGCACGTGGCTGGGTCTGCCACGCTGCCCAGTGGCTCCAGCAGCCAGGGCGCCAGCAAGGGACAGCCGCCATGCCAGCTCCCACCCCTGCCACCGGCACCAGCTTCAGAGGCACCAGCTCCAGGCCCTTTAAATACAGGAGCCAGGCCAGCCTCCGGCCGTGCAGGGCACATTCACCAGGTGGCAGACCCGAAGTAGGTGCCAGGGCCCAGGGCAGGGCCAGGGGGGCTCTGATGGACATTGGGGTGCAGGGTGCTCCCTGGGGGCCAGGGCGGCTCTGATGGAGACTGGGGTGCAGGGTGCTCCCTGGGGGGCGGGCGTAGGAGAGGTGCTGGCAGGACATCCTGGGCAGTGGGGCTTAAGCGGGCACAGGATACTGCTGGAACAGGTGCTGCTTCCCTTCTGGGCCACAGCGGGGCCCGCACTCAGCTCAGGGTCCCCTGGGCTGAAGGATGATGCCAGGGTCACCACAGGGGCAGGTGGACCCCACACCCTCCCCCAGAGCTCTGAGGCTGGGGAACCCTGGGGTGGTAGACCCCGGGTCTGCAGTGGGGGTGGGGTGGGAAGAGGGCTGCGATCCTGGGCTCCAGGTGGGGGACTCGGGCTCCCCTGGCGTTGGGCCAACGTGGCCCTAAGAAAGGAGCCCGGAGACGCCAGTCTCCCATCTCGGCCACAGGAAGACTCGTGGGCAGAGGCGCGGCCCGGGCTCCGAAAGGGCCTCGATGATTCCGAAAACAGAAACCCTCTCCCTGTCGTCTCTCCAGTGAATTCCTGGGCCTTTTACGGCTGCTCAGAAGAGCTCTAAGCCTCTGTTTTATGGGATTTAAGATGCTTTTACGAGCTGCTTTGGATCTCCCACCAAAGCCGATCTCCTGGAGAGTTCACTTTAAGCCACGTTCCAGGGTGGGCCAGGCCCTCAGCCCCACTCGGTGCCTGTCAGCCCACCCCGGGGAGAGAGACTCGCTGTGGGCAGACCTCGTAAAAAGCAGACGGGTGGGCGCGTGGGGGGGGAGCCCACCGCGCGGTGTAACTGAAGACGGGGCGAGTGCACCGTGCTGGCCACCGTGCGCCCGAAGATTCTCTGACGGGAACCCAGGGAGCTGACGGGACCCTCCCTGTCGGGGCGGCTGTGGGCCTGGGAAGGAGCCTGAGCCCGAGGTGCTAGGGCAGGGCCTGGAGGCGCCTGAGAAACTAGTCCCAGCTCGGGGGTGACTGGTCCGGTCCTGGGTGTGGCCAAAGGCAGGAAAGGAAACCCTGGGGGGAATCATCTCATCTTTTGTCTGTGGCCGTGAAGGAACCACCTTCTGAACTGGGGCCTGTGGGCACCAGGAGTCCCAGCCCCCTCCCCGGGGCACCTACTGGGGGCCCCTGCGCTGGCAGCCCTGCAGCCAGGACGTCCAGCAGACACGCTGTGGGCCTCACGCACCCGGAACCGGGACCAACAGCTGGGACAACGGTGGGAGGCCCGGGGCTCTGCCTGGAACCGGCCTGGGGCCTGAAGTCCCAGCTGGAGGCCTTCTCGCCTGGGGCTGATTTTCCGGGTCTTCACTCTGTGAACGGGGTGCCTGCAGGCTCGCCCCTCACGGGGTCACTGACGTGGGCAACAAAGGAAGCGCACGTCCCCGTGGCGGCTGCTGTCAGGTACAAGGGGAGATGCCTCCACACGTGGGAACTCTCGTCAGGCCACTGAAGTTCCAGCCCAGGAAACGCCCAATGGGAACAACAAAGTGCATGCAGGGTCCCCACCATGTTCTGATCGGTCTCGGGCGGTGGGTGCTGGGAGGACACGGAGCGGCCACACCGGTGAGGGGGGCACTCCCTGGCGGTGGCGGGTCGTGCTGGCGGGGACCCCGGTGGGTGCACAAGGAATGACAGCGGACGCATTTGCACGGGACCCTCTGGCTACTCACACTGGAGGAGCTTTATATCTATTAGCAGTTCCAGGGTCAGGAGAGTCACCACCAATATTACACAGGCTACCAGGACACTGTTGAGACTGGCACTGAGCAAAAATACCTGCCACACGGCCGCTCTCTTCCCGCAGCACGGCCTCAGCCAGGTGGACCTGCGGGGACAAGAGGGGGAGGAGGCGCTGAGAGGGGACCCCTGAGGCCCTGCCCTCAGCCCCCCGCGTCCCTCTTCCCGCGGAAACACAATCTGTCAGGAGGCTGCGGAGCAGAATGACGAAGAGGGGTCTTCGGGCGTCTGATCCACTCCGTCAGAAACCCAGGATGCGGGGCAAAGGGGGTGCCTGTGAGGGGCCCGGAACGCGGAGGTCGGAGGCCGGAAGGAGGCAGGGAGCCCTGCCTGCAGCTCCTCAGGCCGTCACGGAGGCCCAGTGAGGGCGTCGCTGGTCTAAACGCACCGCGCAGCCGGCATGAGCTGAGGACGACGACGGTGATGCTGACAGGAGGTCTCGGCCACACACTGGGCCACGCCCTCCTTCCTGCCAAAGGGAGCAGACCGCCCATGCCCAGCCCCAAGACCCCAGGGGCGTCCCGGACGGGGCTCCTGGAGGTTTCCTCCCCAGTCGGCCCAGCGGAGCCCGCGGAGCCCCCGGCGGTGGCACAAAGCTCCCGGCTCAAGAAGCCCGGCGGGAAACGGGCTCAGCCACGTCTTTCCGGATCTTTCTACATCTGGGAATGGAAGGCACAGTCCCGGGCTCTGGGGGACGCAGACTGGGGTTCAGTCCCCAGCGCGGACGCTGGCCCAGGAAGGCGGCACTAACCTGGGGACAGAGGGAGAGGCCACCAGGGGACAGGCCAGGCGCGTCTGTCCAGGGGCAGGAAGGACGGGGCATGAAGCCTCTGCCTCCAGCTCAGAGGGGCAGAGGCCCCCGGAAGCCAGCGCCCGCCCACGGGTGCCGTCAGCTGACCTGCTCTTGTGCACGAAGACCCTGAACTGTGAGACGCAGGCTGTCACTGCTCAGCTGACCTGCTCTGCTGGCCCATCGGTGTCTCACCTACTCCCCTCCTCAGCCCACAAGGTGACATTCCTGCCCCTTCCTGGGCCTATGTTACCCCTTCGCATCGGATCTCTCCGCCCCCCCACCCCCCCCCCCCCCCCCCCCCAGCACTTCCCTCCTTCCTGTCAACTCCTCCCACGGCCGCGGGCACTGCAGGTCTCCAAGGCGACCCAGCTCCAAGTCCACACCCTCACCCCAGGCGGATGGTCCTGGCCCCTAAAACTGATGCAGACTCGCTACCGCTGCAGAGACAGGGAAAGGGCCCCTTGAGGTCGCGTTCCAGGAGGCGGTGCGTGGGGCAGCCCGGCTGAGTTGGGTGTCAGGCCCCCTCGGCCGCAGCGGCTTGGAGCGCAGGACCCACCACGGGCCGAGGCTCCAGCAGAGCCGAGAGGAAGGAGCAGACGCCTGGGGGGCCGGGTGTTTGGAAATCGCAGAGTGCCAACACAGTGTCCGCTGAGATTCAGAAGAGGAGACGGTGTTTTAGCAGAAGAGCAGGATGTGTCTCGCTCCCCAACATCCAGGTGGTTAAACAGCGACCCGAGGAGCTCAGAGGCCCAAAGGGAAGGCGGCACTGACTGCAGTTTGTTCTTAATCCTCACGCGAGGATTTGTTCTTATTTTTGCTTTTTCCTTTTCAGAGGGAGAGGAAGGGAGGAAGAGAAACATCAGTGTGCACTGGTGTGCGGGACGATGCGCCCACCAAAGGCACACCATCACAGCACTGTGCCCAGCGCTCCAGCCACGGGCAGGCCGACTTCCATCCTTCTGCTGCTGTTGATTTCCGAGAGGAAGCGATGGAAACATCCACGATGACGGAACGGCGGTCGCTGCCTCCCGCGGCCCACACGGGACGGAGCCCACAGCCTGGGCCTGTGCGGACCTCATTCCTGAGGACATGCTCTTCCACCGCGTAGCACCCACATCCAGCCCCAGCCGGTGCTCAGGTGGTGCTGCCCCGGAGCGGCCACCAGAGGGCAGCGTGTCCCTGTCTCTATCTCCTGGAGCAGGAGGGCAGTGCCAGGAGGCCCCTGGGGCTGCCAAGGCCGAAATACCAGGAGCAGATGGCATGTCCGGCAGGTGGGCCGCGTTCCATGTGCGGTTCCCCGGGTCACTCCTGCGGCCGCAGAGAGATCCTGGGGGGAGGGGGCCGCGGGTCTGACTGCCTCGGCTTTAAATACTTTTTTTTGTTGTTGTTGTTAAATATATTTTATTGATTTTTTAGAGAGGAAGGGAGGGGGATAGGGAGTCAGAAACATCGATGAGAGAGAAACATCGATCAGCTGCCTCCTGCACATCTCCTACTGGGGATGTGCCCGCAACCCAGGTACATGCCCTGGACCGGAATCGAACCCGGGACCTTTCAGTCCGCAGGCCGACGCTCTATCCACTGAGCCACACCGGTTTCGGCTCGGCATTAAATACTTAGGAGTCTTGGTAAACGCTTGAAAGAATGGCTCTAGAGTCTAGAATATTAAAACGAACGCCGGCAAACGTCTGATGGCTCCTTCGCGTGAGGCGAGGCCACGGGAGTGGCCCTGAGGGGTGGCTCCAGGTCACTGCTCTGTCAGGCAGCGTCCCACACCCGGTGCTGACCGAGCCCTTTCTGAGGGGGCAGGTCTGGTGCCTGGACAGCAGGGCTGCGCTGGCTCCTGTGGGGCTGGGCTCCCGCACGGCAGAGCCGTGTGATCCGGCTCGGTGGCTGCCAGGCCATCCAAGGGGAAGGGTGAGCGATGGGGGGAGCAGGAGCTGTGCCCACAGGCAGTGCAGCCAGGGGTCCCAGGGGCCACAGCAAAGCCCCCTGCCCTGTAGGCAGCCAGGCCAGGCAGCCCTGGCAGCCCTGCACTGAGCTGCTCACCCCTCAGGTCCCCAAAGGAACGAGGGAGGGTCCCAGGGAGTGGGAGCTGTCTGGCCGCGGGCATGGAATGAGTCCAGAGCACTGCTGGCCTGCCTGGCGCTGACCACGGCGGCACTGCCGGGCCAGAGGCTGGGACCCTTCTGGCTGCAAAGCTCTCCCACAGGGACGGAAGCTACAGCCCTGCAGCGCCCCCAAACGCACACCATCAAGCACTGTGCCCAGCGCCCCGAGGAGTGTGTGGGCGCCTGGCCTCACTGATGGGTCAGCTGAGCACACCGGGACCCCAGGTGCAAACCCGGGAGGGAGTCCAGACCCCACGTCCCCAAATGCTCCGCTTCTGTGATGCTGACGGGGCCTGGACGCACGGGCTCGGTGGTCTCCGCTGTGAGCAGCACATCCTGAGGCCCCAACTGTCCGTGGCTGTGTTTATGCCGCAGGATGAGAGCTGCCCGGAGAAGCCATGGCGCTGACCGGAACCCAGCGTCTGCCCGACCTGGGCTCCACTTCTGCTGGTGACCGACGCCGTCCAGCACTTGGGATGGCCCCGAGCTGCCCCGAGCACTTTACAAACGTCACCGCATCGCGCTGTTTGAAAAGACGGTTCCTTCTTCAACTCCTTCCTGTTGACAAACAACCTGGGGAACAGCTTGACTTTCCCATCTGCTCCCCATCCTTCCCATCTGGTGGCAACTGGTGTCTCCAAACAGCAGCCCGTGGCTGAGCCCTCCGAGCGCCACCCCGGAGCCTGTTTCCTACCCACTGGGAGCGGCATCACCCACCCTTGCAGGGCTGCTGTTCCAGGATATTACAAACAACGTCTGTGAGCCAGAGCACTGTACTTACTGAGCATCTGCACAGATACCTCCTGTGAGGATGGGGTACAGGGCCTCAGAAAAGGGCGAGTGACCCACATACGGGAGGTGTCGGTGGTCCCTCCCCCCGCATACGGTCCGTCACTGCTAAGGGCCCACCTGACGCCCCCTGTGAGGATGGGGTACAGGGCCTCAGAAAAGGGTGAGTGACCCACATACGGGAGGTGTCGGTGGTCCCTCCCCCCGCATACGGTCCGTCACTGCTAAGGGCCCACCTGACGCCCGCTGTGCTGGGTGCCGAGCGCCTTCCCTCACAGAGCCGCGGCCTTGTGAGAGGTTCTGGCTGTGCCATGAGCCCCGGTCCCAGCCTGCGCGTGAAAAGCACAGAAATAAAGGGAAAGCAGGAGAGGGAAGGAGCTCACACGTAGGACTTCTCCAGACAGACAAGTATCCACCTGTGAGAACCAGCGGCCCAGCGCCCACGGGGCCCCTGGCTGAGTGTCTGCACGGGGGTGGGCTTCTTTCGCGTTCTCCTGGGGAGAGCCTGACCACAGCAGAAGTCTGTCCGGCATCCTCTGTCCCTGCACCCACGTCCAGGAGGAAGGCCCAGCCGCACACACAGGCCCAGGAATCGGGCACACGTGCCTACCGGACCCACCAGCTGGAGGTGAGAGGTGACTGTCCTGGAGAAGCAAAGTTTCCACAGGAGCAGCTTCTTTGGTTCTGCAGTCAGAGCTATAGGTCAGCCCTGCCCCGGGGGAGGAGGGACAGAGGAGGGACGGCGGGAGGAGGAAGGAGGGAGGGGGAGCGGGGGAAGCAAAGCGGGTGTTGCTGGGTCACGAAGTCTGACATTCGCTTGTCCCAGAATCCAGGCTTCTCGCACCCTCAGAGAGGACGAGCTCAGGCCAGGAGGCAGGAGCTGCCACCCCACTCGGGGGTAAGCCCCCAAGCCCCTTCTGGGGGCGCAATGGCCGACACGCACCGTGTGGGGGTTCAGGGCGTTGCCCACACAGCTCTGAAAAGCCGCCTCGGGCTCAAGCCTGACCCAGGAGGTAACGCGGTGCTGCTGGATCAAGTTGGCCATGAGGCCCACTCCCACCTCTCGAGTCCTGTGCTGGGAACTGGTCCCGTCGGAGGCTCCCTGTGCCTGGCAGGGCTGCCGGGCGAGGTGGGCGGCTGGGAGGGAGCCAGTGGCTAGTTTCCAGGCACACGCACTTCTCTGCCCAGCTCGCTCTGTTCTCAGCTGTAGTTCGGCAAATCCGGGGTTGGCCACGCTCCCCCCTCCTGTTGAGCCAAAGTCCAGATCCAAGGTGCCTCCGAAGATGACTGGGGCTCTAGAACCCCGTAAATTCAGCTCACTTTCCTTGGGGACCTGACCCTAAGTTTAAATTGCTCTCCCTCCCTCCTCCAGGCCGCGCTCAGAGGGGCTCTGCT